GTTAATACATATAACAACATTGGACCCCAGGAACTGGTGTCAATGCCCAAATTGTTTAATGCCAATAACCCTTCCAGTGTACAGTCATGTATGACCCGAATGTCATTCGCTGCTGAACCCTTCACAGTTGCTTGATTCATGAGTTTCTGGATGATGGATGAAACGATAATTCTTTTATTGTCATACCGTTCCTTCAATATCTGCCATGCTGTTGCATAGTTTTGATTGGTTAGAGCTAGATGTGCTACTAATCCTGCTGCATCTTCAGTTAAATGATTTTTTAAATACCACATCTTCTGTGCGTCTGGCAACTGAGTGTTGTGGATCATTTCTGTGAACAAGTTGTCGAACTCCATCCACTTGGTATATGTTCCGTCAAACTTCGGAATTGTTATGTTAGGTAACCTAACTTGCACCTTTTCCGCAACGAGAGGCGGTTGCTGTTGATTTGATGTCACCTTTGATGTTAGTGACACCAGCACATTTTGAACTTCTTCTTCTAGTTCAATATATTTCTGGATATCATATCCAACTCCTATTGGATTGGAATGTATTTCCCAGATTTTAAAATTAACGGCTTCAATTTCTTGCCATAATTTGTTAATTCTGTCAATATTTACTTGGTAATATGACAGAGGCTGTTGCTCGTATATGCGCTTGACGCCATTGATGAGCCGCAATAATGAACATGATATTGCGCGTTGTTTGTTGATGAGCCCTTGAATCTGTGGATCAGGGCCGCACGCTGGATCATCTGTGTGTCCAACATCAAATCTTGATGTTGATGGAACAGTTACAGGCTCGACTATTTCTTCTTGGTTGAATTGTTGAATGGCCGCTTCAAATTGTCGGCTGTACTGTTTGTAAATATTCAGGATCTCTTGATAATATTCCTTTTTTATGTAGTCGTGTCCGACTGGAATTGAATCAAGACTCTGAATTTTACTGTCGACTTCATCGAAGGACTCCCACGCTGAGTTTAAACGCTTCAGTCGTTCTTCATAGTACGCCTGGGTTTTCCTTGCCTGACCATCCTTCTTGAAGTTTCTTATGATGTTCTGGATTTCAGCACCTGTTTCAGCCTGTTGGTTGATAAGGTCCTCCATGGTCACCAGAAAATTGATTGTTGAAATGTTGATACGTGTATGTCACCAAATGACAACAATGATGCGTGTATGTCCACAAATGACAATACTGCTGCGTGAATGACAATACTGATGCGTGATAGATCACGTGTATGTCCACAAATGACAATACTGATGCGTGATATCACGTGTATGTCCACTGAATGACAACAATGATGCGTGTATGTCCACAAATGACAATACTGCTGCGTGAGTGACAATACTGATGCGCGATAGATCACGTGTATGTCCACAAATGACAATACTGATGCGTGATATCACGTGTATGTCCACTGAATGACAACAATGATGCGTGTATGTCCACAAATGACAATACTGATGCGCGATAGATCACGTGTATGTCCACAAATGACAATACTGATGCGTGATATCACGTGTATGTCCACTGATGCGTGATAAATCACGTCGGGGTCACCAAAAATGTTATGATCCGTACCTAGTTTGATACGGACTGAAGCTAATCCGGCACTTGAACCAGCTTAGCTTTTCACGATATGTTATCCTCCGTATCTAGTCTGATACGGATTCACTAATCCGGCACTTTAACCAGCTTAGTAATTCACTTACGTAATCCGGCACATGAACCAGTTACGTAATTTATAGATATCTAGATATATATGTAAATATATATATAGATATTTATTTGTTTATTTTATTTTTATTATTGATTTTCAAATTCGGCACATAAACCGACTTTGCTCAAGGTTCTTTTAGGCACTTAAACCAAAAGAAAACACTTGGTTGTATTCAGGTTGTTAAATTGAATCAAGTTTATTAAAAATGTTGTGCTTTTATACAAAATTCTTAACACTAAGCTTATGGTAAAGGAGGAAATGCACCCAGTTCCCACGATTTGTTATCCGATGGACTTTGAACATTCAAGGCCAAGGGCATTCGTGGGAAATATGTGCATTACCTATGCTTATACTATTTAATGCAACCAGCAAGCTGATATATGTATTTTGCCATATATCAACCTGCTTCACAAATTTGGTGACTTAAATGTGTTATCACTGAAGCCATGCGCCAACTCATATTGCACCTGTGGGAACAACAGAATTGTCGCAGCGACTTGCCTATTGCTGCAACTCACAACGAACACACGATAAAAGAAAATGAACATAATGCTTATCAACCTTGCACAGTGGCGTGTGAAGATGATCATGTTACGTCTGGCACGCTGCTAGCGTGCGAATATTTAGTTGTGAGAGCCAGCAACATTGCTAAATGTTTGATAACACAAATAAACACCAACAACAAAAACAACATAAGAACTAATTTAGGTACTTATGTACACATATAATTAATGCACTAATAAGAATACAATTATAATAATTGACAATAATAATACAATAATAAGAAAACAATTATAATAATTGATACAATGATAATAGATTTAATATGAAACTTAACAATTACCTTTCTTTTTATATTCATTTACCCGGGTATTAGTAAATATATTGTAATCTAGTGACTGCTGCAGCTGTTATACCTTCAACACTTGCTATTTTTTCAAGCAGTGGAAAGAATTGATCCAAGTCAATTTTTCCATTAGTGCTTAGGTTTTTTATATTTGTGTGATCACATTTTTATTCATTCTTATATTTAAACAATCGCCTTTAATTGCTAGCTGGGTGATGTTCCTAGGTTTATCTCTGAACGCTTCGTATATTTTTAAGTTTGATGACATTTTATTCCAAATCTCTTCATTTGTTTCTGATCTTTTTTGTTTTTGTTTCCCAGCCTTGTAGTTACTTTTAATATTTTATTGGCTGTTTCTCTTATTTCTTTTATTTCATTAAAGTCTATGCGCGACAATGCGTCAGCAGTATAGTTTTCTTTTCCCCTCAGATACTCTATGGTAAAATCATATTCCTCCAAGTCTAGTCTCATTCGCGTTAGCTTTGAAGATGGATTCTTCATTGCGAATAGGTATGACAATGGTCGATGGTCTGATTTGACAAGAAATTTTGTACCATAAATGTATGGTCGAAAATATTTTATAGCCCAATATATTTCGGCTAATTCTTGCTCTATAGTGGATTTGTTGCTTTCTCCCCTCGTGAACGATCTTGAGGCGTAAGCAACTGGAAGTTGAAACCCATTGTGCTCCTGACTGAGCACAGCACCACAAGCATATTTACTTGCATCGGTGGTGATACAAAACTGTTTTGTATAGTCTGGGTATTGCAATATATTTGGACTTAATAATGCAGATTTTAAAAATTGGAATGCTTTTTCACGTTCATTGGTCCATTCGAAATGTGCGTTCTTTTTACATAACTTAGTTAAGAGACGTGAATGTTCAGCGAAATTTGGAACAAATCTCCTATAGTAGTTGCAAAAAGCAACGAATCGTTTGATTTCATCGGCATTTTTGGGAGTTGGATAGTTAAGAATTATATTGAATTTACCATCATCAGGAAGAATGCCTTTATCCGTACATTTATGCCCTAAATAAGTTACTTCTTGTTGAAAAAATAAACATTTTTCAGGGTGAAGTTTTAAATTATATTTTCGGCATGTATGGAAAACATCTGTCAAGTTTCTGAGCATATGCTTTTCCGTCCGACCTAACACCACCAAGTCGTCCATGTATAAGAAAGCTTGCTCGGCTTTTAAACCCGCGAATGCAAAGGTCATCATTCTTTGAAATGAGTTTGGTGCTGCTTTTAGTCCGTACGGTAACCTTTTAAAGCGATATGAACCTTTTTCTGTCGAAAAAGACGTTATATCTCTGGAGTTTTCATCGAACTCAATTTGATGAAAACCTGACGTTAAGTCAAGGCAAGAGAAATATTTCGCTCTGCCTAGTTGGTCAAGAATGTCATCCATCTTTTCTGTGTACTTCCTGGGAGTGATTTCTTCGGAACTAACAGAATGGGACTGTTGTATTCAGAAGCTGAAGGTTCCACTATACCATTATTTATTAGCTTGTCAACTTGTCGTGTTATCTCCTCTTTGTGATTATGCGGTATTCTATAGTTCTTGATGTATGTAGGCTCGTTTGTATTTAATCTAAGTTTTTGTTTATAAAAATTGTTAGCTGATATTTTATCAGTTTCGAGCGCAAATACATCAATATACTCCGAACAGAGTTTAGTTAAATCAGACTTAACAAAGTCTGGAAAGTTTTTGGACAATTTTTGCAATTTTAATTGGTCGTTTGCGATGGTACTAAGTGTAACTATTTCATAGTCGTTTAGACTCTCAGTTTTTATTGAATGAATTGGTATTTCAACTTTTTATATGTTGTATTTATTAGTCGCACTAATGCACTAGGTGTTGTTACTATTGTATTGGCAACAAATATTCCGTCTTGGAGTTGTTGCTGTGGAATTAATAATTCTTTTTCCGAAGTGTGTACATTCACCTGTCTAACCACTTCAGATCTTGCCGGTATTGTTATCGTACCAACACTTGGTGAATACCTCATTGGTATTGCGATATCCTCATGGAAATCATCTGGTTGCAAGATTAACCAATCTTGATATTTTTGATAGTCAAGTATACAATTGTATTTCTTGACGAAATCGAGTCCAATGATTCCATGGGATGGGATTGGGAATTTATCATCTACTACATGAAATTCGTGTTTGATTAGTATATTTTCAACCTTTAAATCGGTTGTGACTTTACCTAGTGTAGTAGCTGTATCATGACCAATGCCGTGAAGGCTTATTGTTTTATTTTTATCAATATAAATATCTTGCACTTGTCCTAGTTTTATTAAAGAAATGTCCGCACCAGTGTCTACTAAAAATGTAGATATTCCACTGTTCATGGTTTATCTTGTGGAAATATATGAGGTTAAATTTAAATTTATATTAAAGATTTTACCATTTTTGTGTTTATCTATTGAGTATCGGGGGTTACCTCGTTTTCCGTAAGGGTCATTCTAGCATTCCTTCCATCATTATTTCTATTATTAAAGGAATTACTGACACCTCTACTACGATAATTATTATTATATCTCCTATTGAAGTTATTTCCGTTGTTGCTGTTATAGTTGTTGTAGTTGGTATTAGCTCTTCGGGAATTACTACGTCCACGATAATATCCGCGACTTCCGCGATATCCTCTGTTTCTTGTAAATAATATTGTATTTGTGCTGCCTGTAGATTCCGTACAGCTATTTACAAATTTTGACACTGCTTCATCCAAAGTATTAAACTGTCCTGCTTCCATTATTAATTTGACTTTATCAATGGTGCAGTTCTTCGTCATTGCCTTTACCGCTGTTTGGGTTGCATATTTTGACGCTAGTTCGGGTGTACATCCATCCGAAATGTAAGCATTTTCCAGAGATTTCGTAAGCTCCTCAATCTCTTTTGTATATGCATTGGCTGACTTGCTGTTCTGCCTTACATTCATCATCTTCGCGTTTATTACTTCCGTTGATTCACCATTTACGGATGATTTAAGTTTATGTATTATCGCTTCTACAGTCAGTTCATTAGTAATTAAGTTTCTGGCAGTACCCTTCAACTTGGTTTTAATCAAGTTAACGGCTGTTGCCTCATGTGAAGACATTAATGACTGAACTAGTCGCAATGCATCTATGAAAGTTCTGAGATTTTCAGCTTTGCCATCAAACTCAGGTATGAGTCTGGCTGCTGTATTTAAAAACTCAATCATAGTCTGCGACATGACTGTATCGGTAATATTTTCAGATATAGGAGGCAAAACAACTAATTCTTTTAACTCTGATAACTCCGCTACGAATAATTTGTTGATATCAATTCGTATCGGGTTGTCTAAACAGTGTGGGATATTCTCTTCTATATTATATTTAGAGTAAACTTTTAGTAGTTTATCCCTAAGCTCCCAATATACTGACCTTGCAAAGTTGTCATGATCTTTTGTCAATTTTGTATTGTATACCCTGACAATTGTTCTAACTTTTTCTAAACTGTCTACCAAGATAATTAAATGCTTTTTTACAGTTTCTATTTTAACTGTAGTGTTTCTATAAACACATTTAAATGATCTACTAAAATTGTCTCTTTCTTGTTTTAATTGCTTTTCAATGACAGTCCATTTATCCATTTATGTCAGTTGGTATACATGTATTTTAAAATTTGTGTTTTCAGATTTTTTTTTTTTTTTTTAAATTTTATCCAAATTTTGTGCAACATATCTCATATATCTTCTGTGCATCAGATATAATTTAATGAACAAATTTAATAACATAATTATAATAATTATTACAAGATACATGGTCATATTTTGTTGAACTTCCGTTATATCAACTTCATTTATTACATTGGCCTGTGGCCTATTTTTAGTCGTTTCTTTTGACTACTTTATTAAACTACAAAATTATACAAAACTACTTTCTTCAAACTACAAAATTATACAAGTTTACTCTAGGAAAATTAACCATCAACTAACTGTTGTTATCAATTGCCTCTCATACTTTTATTTGTTGTTAAGGTGACCAGTTTATGTGCTTTTTTTTTCAGCATTGCCAGGTGTCTTTTTCCTTCAATAATGACAATTGGTTATTTTCTGGGTTGACATCTTTGTTGTACTGTCGCCACAGTACCCCCTTCCAGTATTGTCTATTGTGAAAACCTTACCTGGTTTCTCTTTACGTGCGTGTGTGGGTTCTTCGTTGCCTCCTTCACATCTACTTCTTTAGTAATGAAAGCAGGTTTGAGCCTTTCTGCTGAAACTGTGGTCTCTTTTCCCTGGATGTCAATTACGAAAGTTCGGTCCGTTGGTCTACTGAGTACCTTAAATGGTCCAGTGTACGGTGGCTCCAACGGGCGACGAACAGAATCAGTCCTAAGCAGGACGTGTGAACAGTTGTAAAGGTTTTTCAACACAAATGAAACATTGTTCCGGTGATATGTTAAGGGAGTCGGTCGCACTAATCGCATGTGTTTGCGAAACTCCTCTATGAACATCTGCGGGCTGGTGCATTGTTGGTCGTCCTCAACAAACTCGTTCGGTTGTCGAATCGGGGAACCATACAGCATCTCAGCAGTTGAAGTTTGTAGATCTTCCTTGAAACACGTTCGTAGGCCTAGCAGGACTGTTGGTAGTAATTCTGTCCAGGATTTTATTTCGTGACACATAAGTGCTGCTTTTAAAGAACGGTGCCAGCGTTCAATCATACCGTTTGCCTGTGGGTGGTATGACGTGGTGTGGACGTGTTTTGCTCCTATCATTTTGGTCATGGCTTTGAAATAAGTTGATTCAAATTGTAGGCCCCGGTCCGTTGTTATGGTTTGCGGGCATCCAAATCTCGCCACCCAGTTTGACCAAAAAACAGATACTATGGTATTTGCCGTAATGTCCTTTAAAGGTATAGCTTCAGGCCACCTTGAAAAACGATCAATCATTGTTAAACAATAGCGATACCCTTTATCCATTGGCATCACAATGATGTCGATATGTACATGGTCGAAACGGTTGTCTGGCATGTCGATTTTAATTGGCCGAAAATTATTGTGTCTGTGTATTTTTGCTCGTTGACAGGGTAAACAATTTCGCGCCCATTCAACTATATCAATTCGCATGGAAGGCCAGACGTATTTTTGTTTTATCTGATGCAGGGTGGATCTTCCACTGGGGTGTGACATGCCGTGAATTGATGCGAAAACTTTATGACGCAGAGATACTGGCACGTATGGCCGAATTGTTCCTGTAGATACATCGCAGAACAAAGAATTTTTGTCGTTGAAAATAATTGCTTGCAGTTTCAAAGATGTTTCCCCGTGCAACAGCGTTTTTAACTCTTGATCGTTTTGTTGTTCCTCTACAACGGTTGATAAACTGACAGCAGTTGGCAGCGATACAGCTGAAATGCGAGAAAGAGCATCTGCCACAGCATTGTCACTTCCAGATAGGTGTACAATGGTTGTTGAAAATTGGGAAATATAATCGAGATGGCGGAGCTGTCGTGGTGACGCCTTCTCTGGTTTCTGTTTGAAAGCATATATCTGCGGTTTGTGGTCCGTTTTAATGACGAAGACTTGTGCCTCTAGGAGGTGTTTGAAAAAACGAATGGCGCTATAGATTGCTAATAATTCTCTATCATATGCGCTGTAATTTTTTTCAGTTGCAGAGAGTTTTCTCGAAAAAAATCCGAGTGGTACCCAAGTGCCCTGGTCATATTGTTCTACGGCCGCGCCAATAGCAACGTCAGATGCATCACAGATAAGTGCCAGCTCAGCATCAGGTGCTAGATGTGCAATTAGTGCAGCATTCGCAACGCTGTGTTTACAGTTATTGAACGCATCGAGACTTTCGGTTGTCCAAGAGATTTTTCGTTTGTCATTCTTTTTGATGTTTCGAACCAGATCACTAAGCTGTGCTTGATGTTGCGATAAGTGTGGTATACAACGCCGGTAGTAATTCAGAACACCTAGAAACCGTGCTAGGTCACTGACTGTGTCAGGTTGTTTGTAATTCAATATTGCTTCAATGCGGTCCTGTGGTGGTTTAATGCCATTCTTGCTGACGGTGTAGCCCAGAAAGAGAATTTCCGATTTACCAAATTGACATTTGTTGACATTTATCCTGAGTCTATGTTGGCGTAAAATGGTAAACACTGTTCGGAGATGACGTTCATGTTCCTCTATGGATGTTGAAGCTATGAGAATTTCGTCAATATAGCAATACACGAAATCAAGTCCTCGAAAAATTTGGTCCATGAAACGTTGGAATCTCTGCGTCGCGTTTTTCAATCCGAACGGCATGTACTGGAACTCAATCAGGCCAAAAGGTGTGCTCACAGCAGTTTTTTGAATGTCGTCCTCTGCCATTGGGATTTGGTAATATGCTTTCACCAAGTCGAGTGCTGAAAACAGCGTTTTGTTGTGTGACTTTTCCGCAAAATCATGCACATGAGCGATAGGATACCTGTCCGGTATCGTTATTGCGTTCAACTTTCGTTAGTCGCCACAAGCACGCCAGCCACCATTATTTTTCGCCACCATGTGTAGGGGACTTGCCCATGGGCTTTTTGACAAACGGCAAATACCTTGGTCCAGTAATAGAGTGATTTCGGCTTTTACCACATCAAGTTTCTGTCCAGATAACCTTCTGGGACGATCAAATACAATGTTGCCTCTTGTCTCAATTTGATGAGTCACCCCATGTTTTTGAGTGTCGTGAAGTGACTGTTTCAACACTGGTCGTGTAATATCAACGAATTCTTTGAGCAGATTGCTGAACTTGGCTGTCTCATCTATTGTAGATATGGTTGATGGCGGAGAAGCTGAAAGATCACCTCGTGTGTTAAGCTTCGTCGTCATGTCTATAAGTTGTTTGTTTCTCAGATCAACTAACAAATGAAAATGGTTTAAGAAATTAGCACCAATAATAGCAACTTCGACATCAGCGATGATAAATTGCCACCTAAATGATCTCCGTAAACCTAGGTCTAATTTCATTGTGTTGTTGCCAAAAGTGGTAATGAGAGTTCGGTTCGCTGCGTATAGTTGGAGCTCTTCTTGTGTTGTTTTGAATTTCACCAAATGCCGTGGCACTACTGATACAACTGAGCTCGGGTCAACCAAGAAACGTAAACATGATTTGCGATCGACGACAAAAAGACGTTCACTATTTATGAGTGGTTGTTTTTCTGCTACTGATGAATCACTGGTTATGTGGTGAAGTTGTTTGCTACTGCCGTCAACCAGTATGTATGACGACAGCTTTTTTAGTTTAAAGGTGCTCATCGTGAGCAGCTTGGCTTGCACTTGGTGGCACCGTCCCCAAACTTGGTGTGATAGTAACACAATTTGCCATGACCTCGCTGTTGACCGTTGACATCGCTTACAGTTTTGGGTGAGCGCGATCGAGAACTCGTGATTGGTTTCCTGAGTTCGCTAACTTCAACTTGCAGCTTTTTAACCTGGTCGGTCAGTTGTTGAATAGCTGTGTACAAATCATTATGTGCTGTGCTGCACACAGTTGTCGTAGCCTGCTTAGCCTGTGGCGATACTTCACACATGGTCATTGCGTTTGTTGTTGAAGCCTCCAGCATCTTATCAGCTAACTTGGCAAGTTTATTTAGATCATCCTCTTCCCAAATTGCCAATACCGGACGAATCGATTTGGGCATTTCGCTGAGAAAAAGCGTACGAATAATTTGTTCGCTATTTGGATCCGGTGCAAGACGTCTCATGTTCGAAAGTATTTCCGACGGCTTCATACCCGTAGTATCTCCACCTTGTAGTAGGCGCCGCAACTTGGATTCGGCTGATTCCGCAAATTTCCCCAACAAACGTGCCTTGAGTGTTTCATATTTATTGTTCGTTGGCGGATTTGTAATTAGATCTTCAGCAACCATCACAATGTCTTCATCTAAATTTACTGTCACCCAAGTGTCTTCTCGAATATTATTTAAACGAAAGACTCGTTCCAGTTGCGCGAACCATACTGATGGGTTGGTTTTATTGTAGTTCGGGACTCTCACATTGTGTCTCATGTTCATTTCATTACTTGTGGATATGCAGTTTGTTCTGCATTTACAGCCATGCTGTCGTGTGCCTGTCTGGAACGCAGCTTGCTCGTGTACTCTTGCATAAGATGCACTGCTTTGTAGTGTTTTTGCTTGATTTTCCAACGGAGTCACCACCTTAGCTGTTCCAAGTACTCTTGTTCTGCAACTTGTGATGACGATGTGCGTGTTGGATAAGCTCGTTAATAGTTTAAGTGAATGTTGTTTAGCGTTTCTAAAACTAATGTTACTTTGCCCTTTTTTTCTTTTTTAAAATTAGTTCTGTAAGTTTTCTTACTTTGTGCGTCGGAGTCACCACTTTAGTCGTTTCTTTTGACTACTTTATTAAACTACAAAATTATACAAAACTACTTTCTTCAAACTACAAAATTATACAAGTTTACTCTAGGAAAATTAACCATCAACTAACTGTTGTTATCAATTGCCTCTCATACTTTTATTTGTTGTTAAGGTGACCAGTTTATGTGCTTTTTTCTTTTCAGCATTGCCAGGTGTCTTTTTCCTTCAATAATGACAATTGGTTATTTTCTGGGTTGACATCTTTGTTGTACTGTCGCCACATATTAAATTTGGCCTTGGTGCCACACATTTTTTTTTTTTAATGCAAGTTATTCAAAGAAATTACAATTTTTACAATATATATTAATATAAATATAGAATAAATTTATTTAAAAAAATGAAATTAATTTTTTAGCAAATTACTGCAAAATATGATTATTTTTTAATTTATATTTGTGTTATTTTGTTTTTTTTGTTTTTTCTTATTATTTTTTATAATATATATAATATTTTTATGTAATATATATAATATAATATAGGTTACATCTCATACCTATTATTTTTGCAATTAAGAATGCACATATTTATTTTTTTTTTTTTAAAATAAATAATTTAATTTTCAATATTCAATTTTATTAATTTTTATTTTAGTAAAGACACAGGCTGGCAGGGTCGCCATGTTATACTCGCGAAAATAATAGTACACAAGTTTATGGTTAGATCTTTATTTTATTACTGAAAATTACAATCTTAAGACTACCTTAAAATGTATTGTGCACAACCGCACATATGCCTACGTAAGCATTAAAATATAAGCATTAAAATATTGTTGTTTATGGAGTAGCATGTATGCATGGGTATGTATCTAATAACATAACTTTGTTGTGCAAGCGATATTGTTGCTTGGGCGATAAGCGACAGAAATATGCTAGCTAAGCACATTCCATGTTGCTGTTCATAACAAAGTATATCTTCAATGCATATACGCTACATAATACTCTATTATTTTTATTGCATATTAACTTACTATAAATGTTTTGAAATTGTATGAAATCTTCATCATTAGGCATATAGATAGTGACATTGTTGTTTAGTAGATAAGTTTTAATAATATCTTTAATAGCTACTGATGTTAGTTCTTTATACACTATTGTAGTGAGGTAATTTGAAAATAGTTTTGTTGAGTAAATTTTGTTTTGATTGCCTTTTATTAGTTTTATTTGGTATTTATACACATTTAAGGGTTTTTCTGTCAGTGAAGTATAATTTCCATTATCATATTTTGCTGAATGTACTGTAGCTATATTTGAAGCAATATCTTCTTCTTGTACATTAATATTACACTCTTCGATTTTCATTCGAGAAGGTGCATCCACAACATGATTTTCTTTCCTGGTATAAGTTATGGTATTTTTTGTTCAAAGTACTGTCGTGGTGTTGCGGTGTGTATGTGAATTTCACAACCGAATTTAATTGAATTACATCAAGTTCAGTTAAAGCGTGTTTCACGACTTTATTATATTTTTAAATAACACAACATTTTATAAATAACTAAATCAAACTTAAAATTTTAATTTAATTTTTAACAATAAAGAATTACAAATTACTTTATCAAAAATTTACTGCTCACACTAAAAAATCGACCAACAACGCACGTAGTTATTCACGTTCTTTCTTTGTGTTTTTTTCTTCGGCGTCTCACCTCGTATCCATCAGTGATGCCAGATGTGTTGTCCCGTTGTATTGGTGCTTACGTATATTACTTATGTTTCACTTACGTATCGTGAATACGTTTGGATGGACACCACAGTACCAAAAAAAGAAAATACGAATGTGAATCTTTATTTCATGATTTCTTTATTAAAACTGAATTATAACTTTTAACAATATTTTAATATTGCACCGGACAAGTGCATTAATTTAAAGCGTCAGCTTTTTGTGGACGCTCGTGCAAGTGTAGGCTTACGCGGTAGGAAAATGCTTAGCGATCATTTTGCTATTCATTCCATCGTCTGCACATGCATTAATTATATCAACTTTATATGTGTTAATTCTCCCCTGCTTAAATTCAAACATCCTCGTTTGATATAATATGCCTTCTTATATTTTCTAGGCCAATGGTCTGTGGGACCGATTCATCAATATTTGTTGTGTTTTTAATAATTACTTTGCTTCTTGTCCGATATATAATTAATATAATTATTATGAACAGAATGACTAAAGAACTTATATTTATTGACAAATTAATATTATTTTCTTTTTTTAATTTTTCAATTATTTTAGTATCATTTACTCTTAATTCTCGTATTAACTTTAAAGACAATAATTCTTCCATTTTGTTACTTTTCGAATTTGGTTGTAATATGGCTGGCAGTGGATGTATATTACTTATTTCATTAGTTACAAATTTTTGATCATCAATTTCTATTGTTACATTATGATGCCTTATTACATAGGTTCCACTTACATTAATTGTTTTATTGTTAATATGAATATCTCTATAATAATTATTTAGGAGCAATATGTCTGACTCTATTTGTTCTATAACAGGTATATGTTGGTTATTTATTATTGTACAATTATGGATTTTACTTTCAAGAAGATTAGGAATACATGTTGTATTCATTATGTTTTCTATTTGATCATTATTACATATCGTTATTTCGTTATATTTTTTACAATTGCTTTTAATTCCATATATTTCTTTTTTACATTTTAGAATCTTTTTAAATGATATTTTATTAACAATTTTTCCTCTTTTAATAGGCCTTATTTCCAACTTTTTTAACAAATTTTTTTATTTGTAGTTGGCAAACTTATTATATAAATAAAACAATTTTTATTAGTTGCTATTTTTATTTCTGAAAACTCTAGAGCTTCATCTATGTTATTATAAGGAAAATTTTCTTTATTTAACATTTTTTCTATCATATCTATTTCGCTACTACATTCTCTCAATGTAAGAATTGACAATATTTCCTTTAGCCCAATAAATGGCACATGCAATGTTTAAAGTTTCCTCTTTTAGGATATCAAGTTTGTATTTAATTTTTAGAGTTAGATCGTTTATAACGTCTTTTTCTTCTTTTACATTTTTTAGTATAGAATTTGTTACATTAGTTATTTCTTTAATGTTTTTAATTGTTAATTTATTTATAATTACTTGCTTATTATTATTTTCTAATGCATTATTCATTTTATCTACTAAAATATTATAATCAGCATGATCGGGGCTACCAGCAATCCTTTTCCATGCTGTGCCGATAAAATCAAGCGATCTTTTTTGTTTATTTTTGTTAATTCTTAGTCTGCGTAGGTAGTTTCTTATTTGAGTAACTTCGGTATTTAGGATAGGATAAAGATAGTGATTGGTAATTGCTTTATCATGAATTGTCTCTTCTATCTGTGCTAGGATTTCTTCGTATTTTAGAATCTCAATAACGTGTATTATTTTAAAATAACCCTCATGGGTGCGAGCTTCTCCTGCATCTATTGTTAGTAGTTGCGCGTTTGAGAAGTCTAATATTCGGCCGTACAGACGGGAATTAATCTGAAAAAATGAATAAGGTGAGTATAGCTTTATATTAGCTTTTTATAAGTCTCTTATGGACTGTTTTGCCTGACATAGTAATAACTATGCTATTCTGATTTTCTGACACAATTTCTTTCCTATATCTTGGTGATAGTTTGTTACCTAATCTTTTGTTTAGTTTGACATAAATGACTTCCCCTGTTTTGTACTGTTTTATACTATTTCTACTTTTATTATGGTTTTCTAAATCTTGTTTTTGTTTTGATTTCAGTCTATTGATATTTTCGATCCCATCCTTCCCAATTTGTTTTGGATTCGTTGTGACCGTTCTTCCGAAGAAAACTTCTACGGGTTTCTTTCCTATGGTTGAGTGTATGGAGTGATTGTATCTATATGTTGCCATGTCTATTGATTCGAGAAAGGAATCATATGTTTTTTCTGCTCGTAAGCATCGAAGAATTTCCGATAGTGTAGAGTGAAATCTCTCCACTTGTCCATTACATGTGCTATGGTACGATGGTGCCTTGTGTACCAATATTCCAAATTTACTTTCTAACATAAATTTGATGACACTGGAATTAAATGCTTTTTCGTTATCGAATACTGCAATTGTAGGGACTCCAAAAGATAAAATTATTTCACGTAAGGGACCTTTTATATCCTCTACTGCTCTGGATTTCAATATTTTTACTTGGGCATATTTGGAAAACTTGTCTATGGCTGTTAAAAAAACGTTTTTATTTGTGAAGTAGAGATCTAGATGTATTATATGGCCTGGAAATTGTGGAATGGGTGTTTCATTTAAAATGGGTTTGTTTGGGTGACGATCGTATTTGTGTTCTTTACAAATTTTACATTGTTTGACAATTTTCTCTATTTTTGCTCTCATTTGAGGGAAGTAAAATTTCTCTAAGATTTGTAGCTTGTTTTCTAAACTATTCCTATGTGCTCTACTGTGTTCATTAATTATTATTTCTTGTTGTGTGTTTTCATTTGTTATATCTTCGACTATTTTCCTAGCATATCGAATTCTATAATTGGCGAAATAAAGTGGGTAAATTTCCTGGATTTTTTCTAATACTTTTTCCTGTGTGTGGATTGCATTTATAACGGATGGGTTAAGGTATTTTTTACGTATTTCAATTAGCTCTTCTTCTGAGTAATCTATTGCCTTGATAATATGACGATGATATGTGGGAAATATTATTTTAAACTCGTAAGAATGAGTATCGGAGATTTGTAAAAAAATTTGGTTTTTTTATAGACATTAATAGGTTCTTCTGCGGTTTGCATTAAATTTCTCCTGAATGCTTCTATTGCTTCTGTATTAAGTTTTATGTGTACTTTGGCTGAACTATTTTTTGATAGCCTTCCTTCTTGTCCTCTAAGTAAGACTGTGAGTGGTTTTGCAATTTTTGCATAGTCTTTAATGAATCTTCTGTAGTAGCCAGATAATCCTAACAATGATCTAAGCTCTTTAACAGTTGTGGGAATATTGAAATTTTCTATTGCTTTGGTTTTTTCGGGATTTGTTTTTATACCATGTTCGGAAATTATGAAACCTAAAAACTCTACTTCGTTTTTGAGGAATACGCATTTATCAGGTTGTACTTTCATGTTTGCTTTCTCAAGTGTACTAAAAATGATTTCTATACCGTTAAGATGTGTTTGCAAATCTTTGCTGAAAATTATTATGTCGTCAATGTACACGAAGCATCTCTTTCCAATGCGATGTCGCAGTATAGCCTAGTGAATTCGTACTTTCCATTGTTCACTGAAAAAGCTGTCTTTTCCATATCTTCTTTTTTTAATTGGAATTTGATGAAATCCTGATTTCAAATCAATGACGGAGTAATATTTAGAATTACCTAATTGTGCTAAGACATCTGAAATTTCGGGCATTGGGTGTCTATCTGAAATGGTTATGGCGTTAATTTTCCTGTAGTCTATTACCATACGGAATTTCTTTTTGCCGGATGCATCCATTTTTTTGGGCATCACCCAAACTGGTGCGTTATACGGAGACCTCGATGGTCGTATTATTCCATCTTTTAATGGGTAGTTTCGAGAGTACACAGGTTTGTCTGTGTTAGTTCTAATTTCTCCTTCCACTTTCGAGGTAAATGTTAGTTTTTGATTTGGGTCAGAAAATAGATTAGAAAATTTTTCAATGATTTTTTTAATTCCTGCTTTTTCGTTACATAAAAGGTGATCATCCCGTATAGAGATGTTATTTATGTTTTCTGTCGTAAATTCTTTTATTTTGACTTTGATATTATCGTCAATGAGAATATAATTATCTCTTAGAAATAACACTGCGTTTAGTTCTTTGAGACTATCGTTGCCTAATATGGCGTCAAACGATTTTAGACATGGGAGCAGATAAAATTTAATTTTCGATTTTTCTAAGTTAAAAAGGTTTAGATAGGTGTGTTGGGTGACTGTTACATTTCCTCCTACTGAATTAGCAAAAAAAGGTTTATTAGTTTGAGGGTTGGATACAATTGCGGATTCTATGTAATTTTTGTTTGAACCAGTATCTATAAGTATTTTTAGTATTTTTCCGTTCCTCGTTATCGCTTCAAAGTAAGTTAAAGAGGAACTCTTTAATCTAAAAAATGAACATCTGAAACGTCAATATAGTTAGAGTTTGGTGGGGTTTCTTGATATTGTTTTTTTTTTATAAAAATACATTTATTTATTGCATTTTCTCTTAAAATGAGACTAACAATAAGTTGTAAAATCTTATAACTAATTACATAATGTTACAAATTTTTATTTTAACTATACATTGTATAAAATAAAATAAAATAAAATAAAATAAAATAAAATAAAATAAAATAAAATAAGTAAACCTTATATCACGAACCTCACTTAGATTAGATCTGAACAAGATCATTGGCCGTGATATTCATGTCATTAGATGGTGCTGGTGGATCTTGAGTGGGAAAGTCATATTGTCCTGTTGCAGGATTTGGTTGGAACACCTCTTTTAGGTAATCAACAAAAACGTTAGATTTTTCTTCATCACTTCGCGCCCAGTTTCCAAGAGAGTTTCTTATTGGAGAATCGGAGTCTATGGGAGAATTTATACCTTTGCTAGCATTCCCCAAAGATGAATGGTTTTTGCCATTTGGACATAGGTTTTGAATATAATTATATTGTCTGACTTTGACTTCCTTGCTTAATGCAGATCTAAGTCTCCTTTGGGCTTCCTTAAATAAGTTTTGCGCTAAAGGGGACCTAGATTTTTGCCATTCACGCCTTAATCTACGTTTTTGTAAAACTGAATTCTCTATGTCACTATTTGTAAGTACTCTATTGAATCTGTAAATTTTATTGCCTTAGGAGTGGAGTTTTCTGCTGCTGAAATCAGAATTGAGTTTAAAACCGAGGTTGCGTCCTTAATATGAGACTTACACTTTATCTTGTAATTTGTGTGTATGTGTGAGTTAATATACTTTTTATATTTGAGCCAGTTTGTTCTAGGACTTGTAAGGCTATAGGAACAGTCATATAACTGAGGACCATCAAGTAAGCAAAATGTAACTGGAGAATGGTCAGAAGACAAATCGCAGCTAGTGTATGTTAAGATAAAATTTTTGCTTATGCCTTTGGTTACGACGAAGTCTATTAGGTCTGGTATTTTATTGTTACCAGCAGGCCAATATGTTGGCTGCCCAGGAGAGATTACGTCTAGTGCATTTTTTCTATTTAGAATAGAATTCTAGAGCTGTTTTCCTTTTGGATTACAGAGTCGTGAACCCCAATACGTGTGCTTGGCGTTGTAGTCTCCCGCC